GCAGCTTGAGCATGAAGGACATCGCGAGCGTGAGCATGATGATGACCATGAGCGACGGCGTGAGGATCGAGAGTTTGAACGGAGCCACGACCGCGAGCGGCACGAGGAGGAGGAACGGCGGCATGATGAGCACGAGCAAGAGGAGAACTTCGATCGGCGATCTCAAGCATCCGACTACCATGATCGACCGAGGTCCGTCAAGCCCAAGCTAATGTTGTCCACCTTCAACAGCAATGATCCCGAGGCTTGGCTCAACCGAGCCATTCCATACTTTGATCTCAACGAGACTGAAGGATATGATCGAGTAAGGTACATTGCTTATTATCTTGATGGTGAAGCCAATGTGTGGTGGCAGTGGCTTACTAGCGTATACCGGAGCCGACAGCGAGTCATCCGATGGAACAATTTCGAGCGCGAGTTACTCACGCGCTTCGGCTCATCCGACTACCACAATTATAACGAGGCGCTATCACGCATACGGCAGACCAGCAGCTTGCGCGACTATCTTAAGGAGTTCGAGCGATTGGCATGTCGCGTACAAGGCTGGCCCGAGACTGCGTTGGTTGGGGCATTTATTGGTGGGCTGAAGTATGATCTAGCTGCGGAGGTTCGCCTAGAGCGACCAGAATCAATGCATGCCGCCATGGAGGTTGCTCAACGTCGAGAAGATCATCTTATGGCAACTCGAAGGTGACGGGCAGATGCACGCTACCCCGAGATGCGGCGCGCACAACTGGATGCAAGCAATATGTTTCCCAGCGGCCGACCACCCGATAGTTCTCGACCACCAGTCCCGGAGGTTAAGAGACTATCGCCCGAGGAAATAAAGTGCCGACGTGAGAAGGGACTCTGTTTCAAGTGCGACGAGAAATTTATGCCTGGCCATCATTGCAAGCTGGCTTTTGTCATCCACGTCATCGATGATGAAGAGCCCGAGATCGAGGAGGATTGGGAGCAAGAAGTCGAGATTGGGGTTCCCGAAGAGGAGGCCGAAATCTCAATGCACGCGATGGCTGGAACAAGAGGATCGAGGACGATGCGATTACCAGCATGTTTCAAGGACCACCGTATAGTCGTGCTAGTAGACAACGGATCGTCGCACAACTTCATCAACGCCGATCTATCTCGAAAGTTGAAGTTGCCAACGACGAAGGTCGAACCATTTGAGGTCCGAGTAGCCAATGGAGAACCGCTAAAGCGCTCGCGGGCTTACCGTGCGATACCGATTAAATTTCAAGGAGTCACCATTAAAGCCGATCTCTATGCGCTACCCTTGGTTGGACCCGACGTTGTGCTAGGAGTGCAGTGGCTCGAGGGATTAGGAAAGGTGACCACCTACTACCGGACGGGAGTCATGGAGTTCAACTCTGGAGAGCACTGGGTCACGTTAAAGGCAAGCAAGGACGGTGGGACCAAGGAGGTTGGTCTCAAGAGTATAGAGCGGGTTTGGCCTGTGGGCGGCCAGATCTTCACCGTCGAGGAGGCAGGCACAGTCGAGCCAGTCAAGTACAAGGAACTCCCTCTATTCGATGACTACTTCGAAGAGGACGAGCAAGTCTCGATGGATTATGATGGCCCACCTATATTCGACGTATACCCCGAAGATGAACTCATGGACGTCGAAGTAATTGAAGAAGCTAAGATCGAGGAAACTAAGGTCGAAGGAGAGGTGCAAGAGGTTTGGACGATCGAGCAGCAGCAATCCGAGATACGCGAGTTGGTTAGAGCATCCAACCACGTACTAGGCGAGTCCGACAAAGAAGAAGGCCGAGTCGACGGAAAGTGTAAGGAGCCTATCTTCCCATTTGAATTCTCGAAATATTTTAAGAACTCAACGGCCATGAAGTACGAGTACGAGTTGACGGACCATGAAGGGCCACCTATTTTCGATGTGTACCCCGACGACTTTGTCGAGGTCAAAAGAATTTGGGTCGAGTCCAAGAAAGCCAAAGTGATCAGAGTAAAGGATGAGATTTGGGTTGTGATCGAAGAGGACCGCGGTAAAGATATGCATGTTAAGAACGAGGTGAGGACACCCCAATTGATGGTTGATGATGAGTCCTTGAGGACAAGGACATTCTTAAAGGGGGCGGGAATGATACGGAAGTGGGTTTTGAGCCCCGAAGATGAGAAGGTCCGAAGGCCGATACTATCCGAGAAGGCCAAGCAAAGGGCCAGAACAAGGCTTGCATGGCCTAGTTGTTGGGTTCTGTTAGGAACGTCAAACAACATTCACAGTATTGAACTTTATCGAAATAAATCCTAACGCAGCGGAATCTATAGTTAGGATATGGACGTTTACCTTTTA